TAATTATAAATTATTGTAACCCTAGAATTCATAAAGTATGTGATAATCATACGATAATTGTTTCGCTTAGTCTCCAGGAACCTATCGATGATGTTAATTGAGGATTTACTGTATGGGTCACGGACTGGGTCGCGGGGATGTTGACCCCCGAAGCCTCCTCCAGCTATAAGGAAAATGATAGTGCTTGGAGTTAGTTGCTATACTGCATTCGGGGTGCCACCTAGTGCAGGGAGACAGCACTGTATGACCCGGGTGGGTTTAGCGCTTAGTTTTGATAATGACACAAAGTTAATGAAAATGGCACTAGGTTGCCATCTATTGGAAGAATAAACAGTTAATTTTTTGCACAATACATGGCCCTAAATATTACTAATGAAAATGGCACTTGGCTGCCATCTATTGTGTAAATCTAGTTCAGTTGTTGCATAATAGATGGCACTGTAAGTTAATGAAAATGGTAAGATAAATGGTAGACTAAACTAATTTTTTTTAGTTCACTTTTTGCTCAATAGATGGTGAAAAAAAAAATTGAAAAATGGGAAGATAAAGTAGGGTAGACTAAACTAAATTTTTTTAGTTCACTTTTTGCTCAATAGATGGCAAAAAAAAAAATAGGAAGATAAACTAGGGGAGACTAAATAAAATACTTTTAGTTTATTTTTTGCACAATAGATAGCACTAAAAATTACTAATGGAAATGGCACTTGGCTTCCATCTATTGTGAGAATTATGAACTAAACTTTTAGTTCATTTTTTGCACAATAGATGGTGCTGAAAATTACTAATGAAAATGGCACTTGGATGCCATCTAGTGTGAGAATTATGAACTAAAAATATTTTATTCAGTCTCCCCTAATTAATCTTCCCATTTTCAATTTTTCTTTTTGCCATCTATTGAGCAAAAAGTGAACTAAAAAAATATTTAGTTAAGTCTACCCTTTATGTTCCCATTTTCATTAACATAAGCACCATCTATTATGCAAAAACTGAACTAGATTTAGTAAATAATTACAACAATAGATGGCAATTAAGTAAATAATTATGATAGATTGCATCCAAGTGCCATTTTCAATTTTTAGTGCCATGTATTGTGCAAAAAATTTAGTTTATTCTACCTACAGTATTATTATAATCAAGGGGAAGCACTAAACCCGTAGGATTATACAGCGCCTGGGGCGGATGTGAAAGGCAATCAGGCTTAATTTATTTAGTAATTTGAGCATACATACAGAGGTACAAAAAAATACAGGTAAGAGCAGCATACCAAAGCCACTTGTATGCATAGCATTATGGGCTGGCTTAAAATTAACTTAAGATTAACTAAGCAATGATGTAATCAGTGATAAAACATTATTGTAAACAGATAACAATAAAGCACAAATGAGTATTACAAAGACAGGTCATATGGTTGCATGCATTGCTGTACATTCAGTCGAATGGAGTATTCTGTTAGGTAGTGTATTTAAAAAATAAAGTTAGATTGGGTCTTAGGTTTAACATTTATGTGATATAATTGTGAGAAATATTAAGATATACAATTTATAAGGTTCAGTTATTCATTATTTGGTTTTGGGTGAGAAAGTGTTCTTTGAAAAGAGACTTGAATTTATAAACAGGTAGTGTTTCTTTTATATTTACAGGTAATGAATTCCAGATTTTAGGGCCTTTTATGTGCATTGAGTTTTTGCATAGCGTGAGATGGACATGAGGAACATCAAAGAGTGATCTGTGCCTTGTGTTATGGTCATGTGTTCTGTTGAGGTTGGCAAGATGTTTGAGGGGAGGGTTAATATCAGAGTTAAGTGTTCTATGTATGTAATAGGTACAGTAATAAGTATGGATGTTTTGTATGGTGAGTAGGTTTAGTGTTTTGAATATTGGTGGAGTGTGCTGCCTGTAGTGGGAATTTGTTATCATTCTGACTGCAGCCTTTTGTTGGGTAATTAGTGGTCTGAGATGGTTAATTGTTGTTGAGCCCCATGCAGAAATTCCATAGGTGAGATAGGGGTAAATAAGAGAGTGATATAGGGCCAGGAGGGCTGACTGTGGAACATAGTACCGTATCTTCGATAGTATGCCTACGGTCTTGGAAATTTTCTTAGAAATTTGTTGTGTATGTGTATGAAATTTGAGTCTATTATCAAGGTGGATTCCTAAGAATTTTCCCTCTGTTAGCTTTGTGATAGGTGATCCGTTTATCATTATGTTAAGAGGGACATCTGTAGCTCTGTTACCAAACTGAATGAAGTAGGTTTTGTGCAATAAAATGGTATAACAAGTAGGTTTTGTCAATGTTTAGTGTAAGTTTGTTAGTCCTCATCCAGGTAGATATTTTCTGTAATTCGGTATTTACAGTATTGGCTAGCGTGACTGGGCTCGGGTGAGAGAAGACGTATGTAGTGTCATCTGCAAATAGTGTGGGTTTGAGTAATTGCGAAGCATTTGGTAGGTCATTTATGTATAGGAGAAAGAGAAGAGGGCCAAGGACACTTCCCTGTGGGACACCAAATGTAATTGAGAACTGGAGCACAGATCCAATTCCCTAAATCAAGAGCCCCTCACCAACATCAAGGAATCTTCCCTCAGGGGTCTCCCTACAGTAGATGGCAGCCTGGTGCCATTTTCAATAACTTTTACTTAGATACCTATTGCAGCAAGTGATACTAACTCGTTCTGTTACCGAGGGCGAATTATTATTATAATAAAAAAGAAGCGCTAAGCCACAAGGGCTATACAGCGCTGCTACTGACGGTGAAGCACAAAACCGACAGAGGTCATAGTGTGCCTGGGAAATGGGAGGCAATTATCATAACTAAGAGCTAAACCCACAAGGGTCAATGAGAAGCAGGCCGATTCAATCCAAGAGAGGATTATTACAATCAAGGGGGAGCACTAAACCTGTAGAATTATACAGCACACATAGGGGGGAGGATTGAAGGTATTCAGGCTCAATTCAGGGAACTGGAGCACAGATCCAATTCCCTAAATCAAGAGCCCCTCACAGTATCAAGGAACCTTCCTTGAGAGGATCCAGGAGAGGAAAAAGTCCAGTTCCTTGCATCAAGTGCCCGACACTAGCATCAACTTCAGTAGATGCAGGAAAGTGGTTGAGAAAGAGACACGAGCATTATTATAATCAAGGGGCAAGTGCTAAACCCGTAGGATTATACAACTCCTGAGGGGAATGTGAAAGGTATTCAGGTTTAATTCAGGAATGTGGAGAACACATCCAATTCCCTAGATCAAGAGCCCCTCACCAGCATCAAAAAACTTTCCTTGAGGAGAGAGACACGAGCAAACTTGAATATCTAGAAAATATGTGTGCTCTGGGACTATGATCCTCTCTAATAAACACAGGTTTGAGAACAACACATACTGGCAAGAATGTAAGGTGATGACTTGACCAGTGAGGTAGGAGACAGCATCAGGTAACCTTTGAAGTTAACTGACAATTACATCATGTAGTGGATAGGTCTTGGTTGAGTATCAGATGTGTCAGTGTTTTCCATGTACATATTATAATCAGCTTTTTTGTCCAGTTGCAGCGACTGCAATTAATCAAGGTTCCAGGCATTTTCAGAATCTAAGGTTGTGTTTGATATAAGGACACAAGTGCAAACTAATGCAACATTTTTTTGTAGCAACATTTCAACTTGCAGGAACTTGTTAAGAAATTACAAACAAGGACAAGAGTGATATATAGGTATAGTGTGAGGTGCAAAGCATAATACATCATTGTAAGTATTAGAAGTAGTATTTGTGGTAGTAAATAGTACTACAACTACTACCACCACCTACAATGATTATATTATGCTTTGCACCTTACACTCTACCTATAATACTCTCTGTGTCCATGTATGTTGTAATGTTTAAACAAAGTTTCCGGGGAGACAAAATGTTGCTAAAAATAAAATGTCACTTTAAAAGTTGCACTTGTGTCCATTAAACTAATATACTTGTCGGTAATTTACCATCATAAAACCTTTCTAAATTGTGTCCTGTGATGACTTTCAATGTCAAAAAATTCCTGGAAGCCTAATTATCATTCACTAAACCCTTGAATAAAAAAAGTTGAATTATATGGTGGCTGTGGGGATTATCTCCCCTGGGCTCAGTCACAGACCGGGCCCTTCCTAGGTAGGAAAGGAAATATTATGGGATTAAAAAACTATGTATTACAAAACAAAAAGGGAAAAGAAATATAGGAAAGCCCTGTGTTTTCTGCCCCTCTTTACTGTTCTCGCTTTTTCAAACATTTTCAATTTAGTTATTCTTTGGTGCTTTTTCCGCTTCTTTGCACAACAGATGTGTCAGGGAAGAGTACCGGTGTCATGTTTTAAGTATTATATGTATTTTATATTTATTTTACTTTTGTATGTGATTTTTTTATGCCTAGCTGTACTGAGCACTTATTATAGTGTAAGCATGTTGTTGGGCATTTTAGACACTTTTGATATTAAAAAAAAAAAAAAAATTCCATTCGCCAACAACTATCACTTATCAGCAAGGTTCAGGAGCATAACAGCTATGAAAACAGGGACCTCCAGTAATAATAACATTGTCAAACTAAGCACTAACCTGGACCATGAAAGTAAAGACGTGTGTGTGTTGTGCATAGTGAATAAAAGTCGAGGTTTGCAACATTTATGCTGAAAAGATGTACACCAAGAGATGTCGAGCTTAAATTCAGTGGCAGCTCGTGTGGGGTTCCTGCTGAACTGCAGCACCCCTATTTTCACTAGATATTATCCATAACATTTAATATAATGAATCTTTTTTTCTTTAAATCTTTCTTTATACTTGTACATTATATAATCAAAGAATTAAAGAAAATAGAGGGTGAAACTACTGTCAGTTACAGTATACAATATTGTATACCAGGTGAGCAGAATTTACCGCTTTTGCCATATGTGGCTCATTTTCTGCCAACTTTATGCCTCTATATCTCAGCAAGTACTGACCGCAAAAAAAATTTTTTAGGCTTAAAACACTCGGCAAAATAATATTATTATTATTATTATAATAAAAAAGAAGCACTAAACCACAAGGGCTATGCAGCAAAATAATCCTAACCTTTTGTTAAGAAAAAATAATTTTTTTTTTATTTTTTTGAATATTTTTTGACAGAATGACAGTTTCAGAAATGGTCTTGCGGCAGTTAAAAGACACCTTTGCTATTACATAAGATTACTGTTTTGCACCCCTTTACATTCCATTAAAATATTCATCTCTCTGGATTTCTAATATAACTTTAAACCCTTTAACCGGTTACTGTGTACTCTACACTCATTCTTTTCCTGTTCGTATGTGTGGGTTTTATACCTTACACCTGAGAACTTTCCCCACACCATGTTCAGGTCACAGCAACTTGCCATACAGACTTTCACATGAATTGGCTCCAATGCCAGCACCTTCTCCCCAGCTTCCAGAGCACTACGGTCCATATTACGGTCCCACATCATCCTGGTCTGGTTGATGGGCACGTTCACTGGTACCATCCACTTCATACGAGCCAGTGTCTGAAACTGAGAAAAAGCTCCTAGAGGGGAGCATCATCATCCCTCCAAGCCAACAGCTCAGAGATTCCAGAGTGCTTCCCCACTCAGCAAATATCAAAAGAGGGATCCTCTCATTGTGGCATTGTCTTAAGGGCTTGATGGAATTTCTCTATTTTCCCCTGAGATTGAGGGTGATAGACAGCTGAAAAGTTAAGCTCTACTTTTAATGCCTTTAAACATTTCTAAACATTATTATTATTATAATCAAGGGGGAAGCACTAAACCCGTAGGATACATTTCTAAACAACTCTGAGGTAAAATTAGGCCCTGGGTCTGTTTGCATCTCTTGAGGAAAACCAACATGAGAAAAAGAACTTCATCAAAGCTCTTAAGACTACATGAGCTGTTATCTTATGTAGAGGGACTGCTTCCAGGTACAGGTCCTCCATCACAAATCCGGCAATCAGTTATTCGGTTCCTTCAGTTATTCGGCACTAATTTTGGCTAGCATAATTTCAAATTTCCAGGATCGCCACACCAACCTGCTTGTAATGTTTGGTGGCACTACTTGCTGCATAAGTCATTCTAATTTCTTTTTCTCCATTTATTGTTTTAACCTGCTTGCTTTTAGCCTTAGCCATGGTTCCAATGAATAAAAGAAATGCTTCTCATTATGTAAAGCACCTACACAGTACATTATCCATTAAAGATAAGGTGGCTTTGAAGCCACTGTCAGTTGTCATGAACTCAGTCTCATGAAGCAGGAGAATATGCTTTATTATACTAATATCAACACTACAGCTTATTTGCCTATCACAATTGATCTAATATGACATAAGAAACAATATAAATAACATTAACCCTTTGAGGGTTTCGGACGTACTAGTACGGCTTACGACCCAGGGTTTTTGACGTACTAGTACGCCTAAATTCTATCACCCTCAAATCTAGTGGGAGAAAGCTGGTAGGCCTTCATATGAAAGAATGGGTCTATGTGGTCAGTGTGCACAGTCTAAAAAAAATCCTGCAGCACACAGTGCATAATGAGAAAAAAAAAGCTTTGACCATTTTTTTGGAATAAAACAGCGACTTTGCACTGTATTTTCATATGGTATTTATTGTTGTATTCTAGTTTTCTTGGTCTCATTTTATAGAATGGAAGACATATTACAGAAATTGAGATGATTTTGACTGATTTTACAATGAAAGGTACCTTGAAATTGAGGTCAAAGTAGCAGAAATGTTCGATTTTTACCAAATTTCAAAAGTAAACAAATCGTGCCAAGCGTGCAATACACGTCAACTGGTGAGTCTAATATTCTTTCACAAGTGCACCAATAATATTTATACCATTTTTTACACTAATGCAGTAGTCTGCATAACAGTAAATCTTATATTTTTTGTGAGAATAAAAATTCAAAGTGGAAAGCAAAAGAATATAAGAGGGGCCTTAAGACGTGACTAACGACCAGAGGAAATGTCATTTTAGTGCCAGGAATGTCTTTCTTGTTTATTCTGGACCCTATTCGGAAATTGGCATCTTTTGAAATTTGTGTGAAATTGGCAAAATTGCTAAATTCTGACCACTGTACTGGATAGTTGAATTTCATAAATGGGTGGTTTCTTGCACCCATTCGATAGAAAAAATGGAGTTCTAGCGAAATATTCATGTTTTTTGTCGACTAGTACAGTGGAATTGGCCGAAAATGGGGCTCAAAGTGGGCAAAATCACCGATGCGTAAACATCGCCGAGACCGCTAACTTTGCGAGAGCATAATTCCCTAAGTTTTCCATCAAATTTCAAACTTTTGGTGTCCTTATGATCGGAAAAAGATTCTCTATCTTTTCATTAGAGAAAATAATTTTTTTTTTTAAATTTGGCCGACCCTGACAACGAGTTTCGGAGAGGGCCTGTTGACCCTCAAAGGGTTAAACATGTTAAATACTCCAGAATAAATAATATTTGGCATAATACCGAACAGTTCAACGGAGGTATGAAGAGGATATGGTATACAAATACCATTCTCCTATCCCTGTCTTGGTGGCTTATATTAGAGAAAACGGAGTGTAGCACAGGACTAATTGTGATATACACTCGTACTCCACCATAAACATGAAACAAAAAAGTTATTTTCTCTCTATAGATTATCACATATAACAGCATATGTGTATAGAACCTAGGATAACCCAAATTCAACGTGGCTTATTTTTAGTACCTGGCTTGGGTTAGCCATATATGATTTTTGGTAAATGTTCGATTCCCAGCCAGGGTAGAAACATTAGGTGTGTTTCTTTACACCTGTTGTCTATGTTTATCCATCAGTAAATGGGTACCTGGGTGTTAGCCGACTAGTATGGGTGTTATCCTGGGACACTGACCTAATTTTCTTGAAATACTCTGCATAACAAGTGGCTTTCTATATAGTATTATGTCACTGATGTCAGCTAGGCCTGTATACCTTGTACATGTACGTGTAGTAAATAAAGATATTATTATTATTATTATATTATTTTCTCAGTTGTTTGTTGGGTTATCTTATTCAAACTTGGGCAATGTATGATGGAAAGATACTTCTTCACGTACACCAAAAATGAAAGAAATCAAACCATAAATAGCGGAGTTCACTTCTCAGCCATTAGCGGCCACTTAGTGGTATATTTTTGTATGGTTATGATTATATTCTCATTTTTTCGGTCTCATTTGATAGAATGAAAGATATATTACAGAAATAGATATGATTTTGATTGCTTTCATGATGAAAAGTACCTTGAAATTGCGCTCACAGTAGCGAAAATGTTCTATTCTTTAGCGAAGCTCAAGAGTAAACAAATGACATCACTGTCTAATACCTGTCCGCCTGCCAGTCCAAATTCCAGTACGGACTCAAGAATGGGTTGACATTATTTATACAATTATTACAATAATGCAGCAGTCTGCATAACAGTAAATCTTCTATTTTTTTGTGAATAAAACTTTCAAATGAAAAGCAAGAGTAATATAAGAGGATCCTGTAGTCATGACTAATGAACAGAGAAAATATTATTTTAGTGCCAGGAATGTCTGCATTGTTTATTCTGGACCCTATTTTGAAATTGGCATCTGTTGAAATTTGTGTAAAATCGGCCACATTGCCAATTTCTGACCACTTTATTGGGTAGTTGAAGTGAATGGGCAGTTTCTTGTACTCAGTTGACAGACTAGAAGTAAATAAGTTTATTCAGGTATACACAAATACAGTTACATAGATTATCATACATAGCAGTGTATGTATAGAGAACCTAGGATAACCCAGAAAAGTCAAAGTGACTTATTTCCAGTACCTGGCTTGGGCTTGCCATATATGATTTATGGTAAATATCTCATTGAAACTTGGGCAATGTATGATGGAAAGATGCTTCTTAACGTACAACAAAAATAAAAAAGATGGACGATAAATAAGGGAGTTAACTTCTCAGCCATTAGCCGCCTCTTTGCAGTATATTTTCGTATGGTTTTTATGGTTGTATTCTCATTTTTTTGGACTCATTTGATAGAATGGAAGATATATTACAGAAGCAGACATGATTTTGATTGCTTTCATGACGAAAAGTACCTTGAAATTAAGCTCAAAGTAGCAGAAAAGTTCGATTTTTGCCGATGTTTAATGAACTGTGCAAGTCAAGTTGGTTAATTTTATTAAGTGTATTCTAACCTAACCACTCTGTAATTCGGCAAACTCAGTAATCCGGCACACTACAGGCCCCAATGATGCCAGATTTGTGATGGAGGACCTGTACTATTTTTATGTGATACAGTATATGGCATAATGCCCACAGCTTCACTGGAAGCAAGTATATGCAACCAAATTCGTAAACAGTTATAAAATATTGGTGTATATCTGTCTGTTATTTTAACTGGTCAATAGGTTAGCCAGTTACTTTTACAGTATTAGAGATATAAGACTATGTTAAAAATACTTGGATATATTTCAGCCCTGCCATTACTGTTCATTCTGGAAGACTATACACTAAGTGAACATAGCAGTCAATTTGTAAAGAGATTTTCAAAAACATCACAAACTAAGGGGTAGAACCATAACCTGCATAGATGTAAGACATGAAATAATAGATATTTTTAACTACTGCATATACAGTCTCTCTTCACTTAGTGACGTACGTACTCATTTACCGATGACTTGGATTGACGACGGATTCTCTGAATAGTATGCATACCTAAATAATGTATATTAGAGCTGATTTCCTCTATTTTGCTTATTACAATATACAGTTAACATTTAAAAATATGCCAGAAATGTTATAAATGGTGCAGAGGTGACATTAAAATAATATCAAAGATGGTTGACACAAACCCACTACCATTATAGTATGTTCCTCACTTAGCGATGAATTCGTTTACCGACGTGATCTTAGGAACAGAACTCCGTCGTTAAGTGAGGAGAGGCCATATTTGAGAAAAGTGACTAAAACCAGATTATTTAAACAAGGTACAGTAATGAAAGCATACTTGAAGATTCTAGATCCTTGGCAGCTTTATCAGCTCGCTCTAGAGCAGCAGAATCAAAACGATAAGCTTCCATTGCACTGCTTTTTCTCTTGCCATCTCCCAAGTCACCTGATCCATCAAGACCTCCTCCACCAACAGTACTAGCTGGTGGCACAAATTGTGAAAAGTCTTCTGGTCGCTGATTCATACCAAATAGCCATGACATGTTTAATCTGTCAAAATTCAAAGCTGTAATAATTTTCAAAACATTTAAGTATCAAAAATGTTCTATGAAACTATATTTAGCACTGGCTTTTCCCACCAAGGAAAGGTGACCCAAAAATGAAAGGAAACACATTCACCATCATTCATTCTATTGCTGTCTTATCAGAAGTGTGCTGACATCACAGTTCAGATGGTAACATCCTAACACCACTTTTAGAGTGCAGGCACTGTACTTACTATCTCCAGAACTCGAGTCTGGTTAACTAGTGTTGTTGAATCCCTTCATAGCATGTCAGGTCATAAAAACCACTTGCCTTCACTCACTCTGACTTATATGACAATTCTACTGAGCTAGACTGTTATCATTATATATTTTTGTCTGTTAATGTACAGATTGAGCTTTCATCGTGGCAACATTCTGCTCTATGTACATGAGCTTTATTATATCATTAACTTGAAAATGATATGGAGAGTGAAATGTTTTCAAAGTAAAATCTTCATCTGCACCTACATCTTTTTTCATTATTGTTGGGGAGCATAGTTTTCTATCTGGAAAAGAATATACAGCAAGACCCCTGTATCAGCGGGTCCGGCATCTGCGGTTTACCATGGCCTGAAAATAACCCTTAATTTTGCTTAACCCTTTCAGGGTCCAAGGCCCAAATCTGGAGTCATGCACCAGTGTCCAAGAATTTTCAAAAAAAAAAAATTGCTATTTTTTCTTATGAAATCGTAGAGAATCTTTTTGTGAAGGTAATAAAACAAAAAGTACGAAATTTGGTGGAAAATTGGAGATCTGGTCAGTCTGTTTGCTAATCAGTCAGCTGTTGACGGATCAGTCTGTGTTGATGGACCAGTCACTGTTGCTGGACCAGTTCAGCTGTTGCTGGATCATGTCAGCTGCTGCTGCACCACGGTCAGCTGCTGTTGCCACCATCAGCTGTTCTGAACATGACTCGTCCCGAACCTGTCCGTCAGCCTGAGCGCAGCCTTGCCTATGTTCATTGTTTACAAAGCCAGGAGTGAGCCGGTTGCATGCAATACAATTCGATACATTTTGTATTATTGCATCTTTTATAGTGTTACTTGTAAATGATAATTAGCCACTTGGGCCAAACATAAAAGAAAGCTTATAGTGCATAACACCTGTTGGGAAAAGGGTGAGAAATACGATCGTACCACAGTCAGCTGCTGCTGCACCAAGGTCAGCTGATTAAATGGGACACCAGTCAGGCTGCTGCTGCACACACGAACTGCAGCTGCACCATGGTCAGACTGTTGTGCACCCAGCTGCTGCTGCCACACATGAGTCAGCTGCACCAACACAATGTGTTGTTGACATGAACCACTAATCAGCTTTTATTACTCGAAACGATGTGTGAGATGTGTGTTTGTTGGTGTGGCTTTAACGTGAAAAAATTAGCCGAGAAACAATTTAACAACGGAGGGTTAGCCACAAGGAGTAACCAAGGAAAAGTCAGTGCTCATCATCGAGACTCTAACTTATTTCCATTGGGTCTTACCTTTTCGACTGTTTTTCGACGTTATAAATACGTCATAGAGCAATGTTTACTGAACTGTATATTATACTCAATATTCTTAGTGGCTTCCATGAATTCTCAAGTAGGACGAAAGCTGGTAGGGCCCACATGTGAGAGAGATCATGGGTCTGTGTGGTCAGTGTGACACCACATAAAAAAAATCCTGCAGAACACATTGCGTAGATGAGAAAAAAAAAAACTCTGATCTGTTTTTTTTGAATAAAACGCCCGACTTTGAGGTGTATTTTCGTATAGTAATTTATCGTTGTATTCGCGTTTTCATGGTCTTAGGGATAATATGGAGAACATATTACAGGAAATAGAGCCTGATTTACATTACTTTTACCGATGGAAAACGACCTTGAAACTGCGCTCAAAGTAGCGGACAATGTTCGAATTTTTACCAATGTTCAAGTGTAAATAAATCACACCACCCGTTAGGTATAAAAACATCAATACACGATCAACTGGGAGTCTAATGTGATTCTTTCACTATGCACTGATATTATTTATACCATTTTTACAACAATGCAGTCGTCTGCATAACAGTAAATTTTGTATTTTTTGTGTCATGAAATTATAAAAATCAAAATAGAAAAGAATAATAATATAAGGAGGCGGCTAGAAGAGAGTGACTAGATGAACAGAGCATATGTTATTTTAGTAGCCACGGAATGTCTACTTTGTTTATCTGGACCCTTATTTTGAATTGGTATTTTTTTATTTGCGTGAATTGGCCAAATTGGCAATTCTGACCACCATATTGGGTGCTCCAAATTACGTAAATGGGAGAGGTTTTATTGTTACATCAGATGATAGATAAAATGTGAGGTCTTAAAGAATGCTATGAGGTTGAGGGGTCAACTGAACATAATGGAATTGGCTGTAAAAATAGGGTCATCAAAGTCGGCGAAATCGCCGATATCGCATATGTCGCCGAGACCGATAATCCGCGGGAGCATAATCACGAGTTTTCGACTCCAAATTTCGAACTTTTGGTGTTCATTACCATCGGGAAAAGATTTCTCTTCATTTCATAAGACATTTTTTTTTTTTTTTTTTTCAAAAATCTTGAGACACGAAATAGATTGAGTTTCAGAGAGGGGCCTGAAACAGTCAAAGGGTTAATCTTGTCTCCCAGATCAACCCCACACTCGTCGACTAACTCCAGATTGGAACAGGGGAACAAATGCCTGGAACTAGTGCATCATATTGGGAATTTAAGCCAGACAAGGTTGGTTTGAGAGATTTAAGAATCGTTACAGTGAATAACAGTCTGATAAGGCCTGTTCTGAAGAAAATGCCAAACAGGACCTTTACAGTACTCAGAGGGAAAAGGCACTCCCAGGACTACAGTGTTTCATCAGTCTTGCTGCCATCTTCAATAAGAGGTGTCATTTATTCTTCAATAGTAGTGTAGTACATTGCACATATATACTGTGCATGTGTACATCTACTATTGTTGCATGTATCCTTCTCTTTGTGTGTAGGAAAAATGTTATATTTCATGTGGTAAATTTTTTTTTTTTCATACTCTTTGGGTGTCTTGCACGGATTAATTTGTCATTTCCATTATTTCTTATGGGAAATTCATTCGATAAGATTATTTCGCAAACAAACGAGCTCTCATGAACCGTATTATATCGTTTTTAATGCGGGGGTCCACTGTAGATAAACGTCAGAAAACAGTGGCGCGTAGAACGTATTTATACGGCATAAACAGTCAAAGGGTTAATACTCAGTGTAATCGTTGGTTTTAGCAAAATAGTTAAGCAGGGAAGTCCATTATTCCAGAAGTTAGATATTCAATGAGGACACATGTTTGGCTTAGGGAGATTAGAATCTCCCCCCCCCCCCCCACCTGCCTGCATACCATACGTTCTTTACTTAGTTGACTATAGTTGGGGCAAGCAGCTTTCATGCATCAGAGGTGAAACTGCTCAGACATTTTGTTTTCTTTTAGATCATTGTATGGTTTTCAGGATAGGCTTTGTTTTCAGTTCACCCTGTCAATCAATGATTCTTGATGATCTCTACCCATACAATGTTTCCCCTGGGAAAGAAAAAAAATATGTTAAGAGCACCGCACACACAATGAAGCGGTTGGCCACAAGTCTAAAAATCCCTTAATACCAGTTATGACCTCAAATGTTCTTTGGAAAGACACAGAACTCTGCAGTGCCAACTGGTTCTAACCTAGGAAATCCAGGTACAGAACCTTGAGAAGCTGTTAGGTTCTAATATAGTGTGGGGTGTCATAGAGTCCTTGTTGAAATCTTCCCCCCCAATGACACGGAAAGGACAGACGCTCCATTTTGCCCCTTAACATAAAGTCTGCTTGCTAACACAGAAAAGAAAGGGTGAGCATGGGACTTTTCACTAGATATACGGGCTCTGGATCCAAAATTCCTGTAAAATAACCTGTCTAGCTTGGAGAAAATTTCTCCAATGTAAGCGTCAACAGAGGAGAACATGCTTCTGCTCACTGCAATGGGCTCAGAACTGCGCACTATAATTTAATAGCATTGATGCCACAAAACTGCGCTTTCATGAGAATAATTTTCCCCAGACAGCTAAGACACTTTAAATAAACCAGTGTAATCCTTGAGTTAACCCAAATCGTTAAGCATCTGTTGCAGCCTGGTCTCCCTAAAGCATCTTTCCTGCAAATATGGACTGCAGGTGTTTCTGTTTATTGCAACATGTACAGTAATTAAAGGATTAAAAGCCCCAGCCCACAATGGGTGGGGCTCCCTTTGACCTTGGGGAACTGGGATCGTCCTACTTGTTCCATGTAGTCTTGGTTCGTTGTGATGGCTGGCTGACTTAAAACTTTTCTGGGCATTGTACTGGAGAATTAGGTTATTAAACTATGTTGGTTATTAGGCTGGAAAATGTGAGATCCCCCCAACCCCCTTCCCTTTCTTAACCCTACTTGTAGGTTAGGAGTGGTAAGTAAATACTATAAGTTTTTGAGTTAGTAAAAATCTATCACCCTGCTGTAAAGATCAATTAAAATCATCAAGATCCTTCTCCTCATGATATACCTTAAAGGTTAGAGGACATTATACTCAAAAAGATCCTCTAGCCAATTAGGGAAAGTACACCCCTCATAATTGTTACCAAACCTTTGAGCGGACACCACCTGATGAAGGGACATCTTCTCCTGACTGTATTCCACTAAAGACTGACCTGCGAAACTTTAGTCCTCTGCAACTTTGCTTGGCTAACTTTCTCTGCAGAATCTGATAAACAAGTTAAGACACCTCTTTCAGTTTCTATTTAATCACCAAAGTCCCTTCCTCTAGAGAACTAAACTGCTTGATAAACCATTTACTAATGCAGTTAGTTCATACTATGTTGCCCCATACTCTAGTCTTTCCTATTTTAGGATTTGGCCATCCTTTGGAAAAACAGTTAAAAAACTTATTTGGTCTTTTCTATAGGAATCTGGCACAAATTTTATGGCTTTGTCCAATGAAATGCCTCACCATATTTATTGTGGC